CATCATCATCATTATCATCATCAGCATCATCATCAGCATCATCATCATCATCACCACCACCATCATCATCATCAGCATAATCATCATCATCTTCTTCGGCGTCATCATCATCAGCATCATCATTACCATCATCAACATCATCATCAGCAGCATCATCACTAGCATCATAATCATCATCACCCATTATCATCAGCATCATCATCACCACCGTCATCATCATCGTCATCATCATCATCTTCATCATCATCATCATCAGCATCATCATCATCATCATCATCACCATCACCATCACCATCATCATCATCATCATCATCATCATCATCATCATCATCATCATCCCCCTCCCCCTCCTCCTCCTCCTCCTCCTCCTGCTCCTGCTCATCCTCCCCATCCCCCTCTTGCTCCTCCTCCTCCTCTTCTTCCTCCTCTTCCTCCTCCTCCTCCTCCTACTCCTCCTCCCCCTCCTCCTACTCCTGCGCCTCCTCCGCGTCCTCCTCCTCCTCCTTCTTCTCCCACCCCCTCCTCCTACTCCACCTGCTCCCTCCCCTGCTATTTGTACCCGGCACGGAGCGTGCCGAAAGGAGAGAGAGAGAGAGATAAGATAAATACAGAGACAATGAGAACAAGAGAGATCGAGAGAAAAAAAACAGAAAAAACTGATGTTTACCGAAAGCGGGAAAACATGGCCCCGGCCGTGACGTCCCCCCCCACTGGTCACCACCCCCGTCTCGGTCGCCCCCGCGAGGGAAGGAGAAACCCGGACGCATCCTGCCCTGGCGACACCGGGCAGCTGCAGGAGCGCCACCTCGGGTGGGGAGAACGGCCAACGGCTGGAAGAGGAGGAAGGGGAGGAGGGTGAGGACGAGGATGAGAATGGGGATGAGGATGATGATGATGATGATGATGATGATGATGATGATGATGATGATGATGATGATGATGATGATGATGATGAATGATGATGAGGAGGAGGAGGAGGAGGAAGAGGAGGAGGAGGGGGAAAGGAAGGGGGGGGAGGTGGAGGAGGGGGAAGAGGATGGATGGATGAAGAGCGCCTTGGAGGGCCGGGATGATGTGCAGCCATCGCTGGGGTTTGCCTCCCCCCCTGGGACGATCCCCCGCAGGGTAGCAAGGAGAGAGTCGGGCCCTGCCTCCAACAACGCAATGGCCCACGACGGGCGGTGGAGGCATCGGAAGGCCTGCTGCGTGCAGCTCCCCTCCGCCACCATCTCCAATTGGGCGGCGTCTCCTGCGAGGGTGGCCAGTCCCTCAAGTTGCATATTCAAATCAGCTCCTGCGCCATCAAAGATATCATTAGGGCTGGCGAAAGGAGGTGGCGCATCTGAACCATTAAAAAACGCCTCGAGTAAAGACGGGGTCATCACTATGCACCCCTTCTTCTAGAATCTACGAAGGGGTCTTCAGAGCACCGCGGGCCTCGACAACCTAAGGCCGATGACAGGTATAGAAACGATGGTGCAACGTGTCACGCCGCCCACGTGCGCGCATCCCGTCTGTGAGGGTACCGCGATCACATGCACGTGCCTCCGTCCAAATCAAATATGTAGCACATGAATGTAAAAGAAGCTGCCGCTGGCGGGCCATGCTCTTCACGCGCGTGCGCATGCGCCCTCGAACAAGATCAGACGTCGCGCGCATGCCTGCAGGGCGCCCAAGCCTGCGAGCCAGTCTGAATTCCGCCTTTCTCTGAAGACTGTCCTTCATGGGACCGAGGAGGAGGAGGCGTGGAGGCGTGCGACTGATATCAACCCCCCAAAGACCGACCCACTCCGTGCCTGAAACGGCTTTCCAACCAGCGCGCCTGGCACGCGCGGTGGCTCTCGCAAGGGGGCCGCGGCTGGACTTCCAATCGGTCGCACTACTGGCTTTAGCTTGCCCCTGGGGCTACCAGCGCTCCTGCAGGAGCACTGGGGCGCGAGCGGGGTTGACCTGGCAATCCCAAAGCATTCGACGCCGCTGGGGCGCAGGCCCGATCGCAGCCCGAACGTCCCATTCGCCATGCAAAACAACATTGGCGGTTGCACTGGTTCCGTCGCGGGGCGGGGGGGCGCGTCGGGCCCGGACTCTTCGCGCAGCGTTGAGAGGAATAATCCGACAACAAAAACCTAACGCCAGAGAGCCTCACGACGAGGCAGGAGACACACCCGCGCGAAATACCTTGGAAACACCGAGCTCGGCTTCGCTATTGGCACGGGCCTTGAACCTGGATGCCTTCTTCAGACGCAGTTTCATGCCTCACAGGCAAGCGCGCTGTTTAATGCGACGCCCAGCAGCAACCCGCTTAGCACCCGCAGAATCATCGATGCCACGATGCGCCACAGACGGCTTCGCAAGCGCGGGCTCGAGCCCCAAATTGCGAACTGCCTCGCGCGCCAGCTCGATGCCCGAAACAACGACTGCAACTTTGTCAGTGATAATGACATTCATCTTTGCGCTCGCACAATAAGAATCACAAGCTGCTGAATCTGCGAGCAACGCACTGCTGCGGCTCTGGCTAGAAACCTGACTGCCAGAGTCATCTATATATGGCGTGAACCGCACGAGCGGAGGCTGGCGCAACAGAAACTCATCAAAAACTTGAACAGCGTGAGTCTTGATACTGAGACCATGGCAACAGTCGTTTGCAGGGCATCCCGGGCTCGGCATGCACAGCCCCGCCAGAGTGATTATGTCTCAAACGCAACGCCCGAGGAGCTTGCCACGCGTCGAACACGGGGCTCAAACACGCAGTAGACATTGTGAAATTCAGGATCATGTTTCTCCATCAGCGAAGGGCATCGTCTCGCTATGTTTGGAATCGTCGGCTATGAGTAAGATGTTATTGCGACGGGGGGCAACATCTGCCTCGGCCCTCGGCGCCCGCGCCCATGCGCAATCCACCGAGCCCCCCCCGACTAGCCCCCCAGCGCCCGTGCCCCACCTCTTCCACGACAGACTTTAGCGCGGGTCGCCGCAACCTTTGCCGCGCACGATACATGCCGCTGCACAGCGCCATTAGATGATGTCCTGTGGACGCCTTCGGCAGCATCGGCATAGGCACCCAGAGCAACTGCCCGGGCAGAAGGCCGAGCGCCTCACAGCTCTGCCTCAAACCTGCCAAGACGTCCAAACCTTCATCGTCGAGCAGCAAAAACTCCTAGGACGGAGCTGGCCCAGCGACGGGGGGCCCTCCTCGCATCCTCTGGAGCAGCCCGAAGGAAACTGGACCTATCAGGGATCCAAGCAGCTGGTCAGGGCGCGGTGGCTCGCCAGAGCTTGCGACATTTATGCGGCTCATGCTGCCTGCGCAGCGCTGCGGGGATCTGCGCCCAGGCCTTTCGGGCCATGAACAGCCGTGGGGAACGAAACGCAACGGGCCTCGGTGACCCTGCGAAGACCCCTGGATCCCCCCATGCCGGCCGTCTTGCCCAATCATTCCAGCTGGCCTGGAGATCTGTAGTATGACCTGTGATGGCACTGGAAACGTCCTCTTCTATTTGTTCGCGGAATTCGTTGACCTGCTCACGCGCGAACTCATAACGCAGGAGCTTGCGCGCCTGATTGACCGAATCATCAGACGCGCGATGAGCCCCAAATATGGGGAATCCTGAGTTCAAAAGCAAAGAGCTCAGCAAACATGGCATCGCGACCCCTGGATCAGTCTTCTCGTCGCTAGCCATCTCCTAGACTCGCTCCACCACACCGCTCACGGGACCCAGTTAACGATTGCATCGTAGGGCCATGCGTTGTAGCAGGAGGCTGGAACATGTCTCCTGATGAAGTGGAAGGCTCTGGGTACTGCAGTTTTGCTAGCATCGCGCTCGTCGCCACACGCGCGTTCACATGCAGAGGTGGAACAGGTAGCTCGTTGACTGATTTTTTCCGGTTTGAACGATGCGCGCACGCGGGCGTATAAACGAGCGCAGGTTGATCATAATGGACGATTCGACCCCATCGCCCTGTCCAGCTGTCTATAGCTAGCCGTGGCCATTGCGTGCGTTATCTAGTATATGCGGCTGCTCCTGCCCCCCCAGCCCAGGCGCCCTTTGGCCCCGAGCCGTCTCGATGCAAGGGTTCAGGTAGAGGGTGGCGAGGTGGAGGGGAAGCCAGCCTGGCAAATCAAGCTGGACATGCTGCACTCTGTGCTGGCACACCTCGCGCACTCCAATATGCGACTCTCGCGGGCCACAGTCCCCCCGTGGACAACAGCGCCTGCGCCGGGTGCAGAGCCAGCAAATGGACAAAATAACAAAGCCGTCATGCTCCAACATCGAAGCTGCGCCCAACTCTGGATCGCCTCAACCTGGTCGGCCACGCGGCCAAACTCTTGCACGAGTACCGCGAGGGGCGGCCCAACACTTCCGCAGGCGCCGCGGCGCTGCGCGGCGCCACGCCGGAGGCCGACGACATGGCCAGGCCGCTGCGCGAGGGCGCGCGGCCGCCGCGACCGCCCTGCGAAGAAGGCAGCCAGCGTGGCGCCTGGGCGGGCGGGGTCGTCGGCGCCGCTGCGCCGCGGCGGCGGCGCCGGCAGAAGCGCGCGCCCAGCGGACGCGGCGCCCGGCGGCGCGGAGGCCGGGCGGGCCCCGGCCCCGCAGCGCACCCAGCGCCAGTCGCGCCGACGGCGGCGCGCTGCCGGCGGCGCCGCCGCTAGGGCGGCCTGCTGCGCGGCAGCCATCGAGCTGCGCGGCAGCCGCGCGCTGCGCGGCCATCGCGCGCTGCCCGGCGGCGGGCGCGCACCGCGTCTGGCGGCGGCGCTCTGCTCGCCGCGGCGGCCGCCGCGTTACCGAGGCGGCCCCTCTCGCTCGGCCCCGGGCGGCGCGCCCCCGCGGGCGTCTTGCGGGCGCGGGCGCAGAGCGGGCCCGGAGCTGGCCGCTGCGCGCGGCGCCCGCCAGCAGGTGCCACAGGTCGGCGCGCCCCCAACCCCGCGCGTCGGCGCTGGCCTTGATATCAGAGCGCACGCCCGCGCCGCGCGCTGGCTGTCCGGGGCGACGTCGACGGGGCGGCAAGCCCGCAGCGCGGGCACGCGCCGACGTCGCCCTTCCATTTCGCCGCAACGGCCTCGGTCACGACGCGGCCGCACATGACGCCCGGACTGACAGGGGCGGCGGGCTGCCAACACACGCCCCAAGCCGGCTCGAGGACCAGCAACGCCAGCAACCTCGAAAGGGTGGAGGGAGATGTCGCGCCGAAGCGCGGGACCCCCCCTGCGCATTCATATCGCGCGGGGGCTGAACGCGGCGCCGCTTGCCAGGCATGCCGCGCGCGCTTCGCGTCGTAGAGCCCTCCCCTCCAGTTTAATCGTGAAGTCCTCGAAACTGGAGCACGTGCCCCAAAGGACTCTGCGCTCCTCACTCGACAACTCACCAAGCTCATTGTGCCGCGCGTTGCGTGCATCAGGCCCAGCAGCACTGCCAGCAGCACCACTGCCGCCTGCATCAAAGCCAGAGCCACGGTTCTCTGGCGCACGTTCATCTTCAGCGGAACCCACGTGCACGTGAGGCTTGCTTTCCTTGGGCACAACCCGAGAAAAGTCTTGCAACTTCGTCCACAACTCGGTGTCAAGGAACTTCTCGGCCTCCTGGTGGGCTTGCTTGAAGGCCTCGGCGTCCTGGATGCTGATGGAAGGGCGTCATGGGCACCCGCAGCAGTAGGTGCAGTACTTTCAGCTTCGGTAGACAACAGCTTCGCCGTTCACTCGAACTCCTTCTGCAGATCCTCAACCTGCATCTTTTTGGCCGCCAAGCTCTGCTCACGCTCAGCGACGGACACCCGCAACTGATCGAACTGCTTTTGCTTCTCCTCCAG